ATGACTGATCCAAAAATGGTTCCATAAATAATTATCTGTCACTCTGATAGCATTTTATCAGTTCTAAATCCAGTATTAAATATGTTTATCAAATCTGCATCCTTTCTAACCCCTAATCAAATCTAACTTGCTTCTGTTTATTTTATTTCATAATTAAACTCAAAGATCTAAAATTACCTTTTGTTGGCTGAGAGGGCAGAAACACTTTGAGTGGCAGTTTAATAAATGTTCACAAACTGCAGCTACCTGAAATAAACCTGAAATGGTGATTAAATGTAATCTGACACACTGAAACAGCAGCACCCTGTTTTTCACAAGCTGCTTGCTCAAAATACTGATGTGATGCAATCAACTGATTGTTTCTCTCGGCTGCACTACAAAAACTCACAGTCCATCCGCAGTAATAGTTTTACTTTTTTCCAGAACAGACAAAGGTTTTAGCGAAAAGCTTTGTTGCTTTGTCCTTAAGCAACAAAAGCATCAGTCAGCGGCGGGTAAAAATGAGAAACCCAGAACCTAAATTATACGTGTATTTTGCTCTTTGCAAAGAGAAAACAAGAAAGGAGAGATAAAAGGTTCGATAAGAGATCTGTTTGTGTTGCAGCTTCATTAAAACCTTGTTCTATGCCAGCTGGGAACTGGAACCAAAATGAAACCAGCTATAGGGACTCGACCCTAGGTATAACATCACGCTACATCTGCTTTTGCAACTGGTTGTGAGCAAAACATAGAGATTGGTTATTTTAAGCATTTTAAGTCACCAGTGCTGCTATTTTCTACGTCAGGGCAGTCCCCAAGTGGTGTGTTGGGTTTGTATAAGATCCCCTCAGTACACAGAGTGAAAAACAGAAATCCAGATGACGTGGGACCTCTGCAGGCCTGCAAGGTTAGAGCGGGGTTAAAAGCTGAACGATGTAAAGCATTTGGCAAAGTCTCAAAGAGCAGTGGCTAAAGGACACCTGCCACTCAGAGGCACTTATAAAGCGGTCAGCAGTCTAAAACACTCGTCTCTGCTCTTCTGAAAGCAGACCGTATTAGTCGTGGCAGCAATGCACTTTTGAAGAGAGGCTTCTCTGTCCCTGGTGCTTTTCTCTGCCTATTTCTGTCCTCTTTCTAACACTCCGCCTGTCACTCTCTCTCACTTCTCTATCTTAATGTTCATTTTCCTATGTGGAACACAAACACAAGCTTTCCAACTATGCAAATTGGCTACAATTTGTCAGTGAAATGTGTCCTTCAGCTGGTAGGATCATCTTACTGTCACCAAAAAAAGTCCACATCCAAACACAGAAATTCATACTTTGCCATGTATGAGTGCATGATGAAAAGACAAAGACACAGCGGATACACTCCAGGAAGGAGAAAATTATCCTTCAGTTGGCAAATAAACATTTCACCTGACACCCTCACTCTCCCCATCTCACCTTCCTCTTCTTCGCTCTGTTTGTTCCTCATTCGCAGCATCTTGTTTTCTGAAGGACTGTTTGTTCGACCTCTTAGCTGCTGCCAAAACATTAGGCGGTCCAGATTAAAAGTGTTTGAAGCTTTAGGACTTTAATCTACAGATGAGAGGCAGTAGAGCACTCTGTCCAATGAGATCAGGATGTGACAAGAAGGACTTGCTCTTTTGGTTTTAACCTTTGTTTGATTGAGATGTTTTTGCAGCACAAAGAGTTTTCTCTTCATCAGGTTACTGGCTGGTAAACTGGACATTTTTATCAGTTCTTATTCGGATTAAGATCCCTATTCTTAGCAAATCCTCGTTCTAGTTTTAGTTTTATTACTTGTGTAAGAACAGAAGCCATTATCTGTTGAAAGAAAGCAAAACTGATGTGGGGAGTTTTCACACAATCGAAAAAAAATCAAGATTTTTGTGTGACTGCTCAGCTGTTAATATGTGAATACCAAACATTCTCTGCTTCCAGCTCCTCTAATTTGACAATTTGCTTGTTTTTAGTCACATATGACAGTAAATTGAGTATCTTAGACCTATTTTATACTGTGTTTTCACAATTTTTGTACAGGCATACTAGTAAATAATTAAAATAAGCCCTAATATGTTCAATCACCAGGTCCAGCTCAGAACCAGTCACACCATTTGACAGCTGGGAGTTGCCCAGTATTACCAGCAGTCTTTTGTTCAACATTGAGCAGCTCCACTGGAGATATAAACGCTTAATTACCTCTCTCAGGGACAATTTGTGAGTATTTTAGGCTGGGGAAGTGGTTCATTAAACTCTCACCGACTTTCGTCTACTTTCTGTCCCCGTTTTCGCAGGAAATTCAAATGAACATCCTTCTGATTATTTTATGACTATCCTGAAAATATCTGCAGAAGCTCAAGAGATTCTAGTTTGTTTGTCTAGTTTGACAGTTTTCTACTGCTGATAGTTGAAATATTGAACCAAAACTTTATGTTCCCGCCTTTTGAAGTGGAGGATTTCTTTCACTGGGAATGAATAAAATCAAATTCGTTCCTGGGTATGAATGCAGCATCCATTTCTCTCTCCCTTTCTCTCACACACAACATCCTCCCTCCGTGCCCACTTTTCAACCCATATACCAAGTTCAAGGAAATTCGATGAGTGCTTGCCCTTCATCAAACACCTCTGTAATATCAGCCGAAGCCAGCTGGCGGAGGTTGAGTGAAAAGCTTTCGGCTGCTGTAAATTTTGATGACACTAATTTCTAGCAGGGAATGATTATAAAGCGTTTCTCAAGAGGACATCAACGAAACCCAGCTGTCAGGGATGTTAATGAATGATTCAGTCTATGTGTGTGGAAGAAAGAAAGCAACACCCCAGTGTGCACCTTTGCGTGTGTGTGTGTGTGTGTGTGTGTGTGTGTGTGTGTGTGTGTGTGATGGTAACACCATCTGCTGTTGACTTGACAGGGGGGAACATCAGAGGGATATGAAGAGGCTCTCTGATGTATTCATTTTAAGATAATAGACAATTTCTCATTTTATTCTCTTTACTCCTGAATTTGAAGGTTTGATTGGCCTACAAAAACATCACACTCACCTCTAGAGGTATCTAGTCATACACATACTTATGGTTTAACTGACTCAGACCAGTACAATGGAGGTGAACTGAATAAACGGTTTTCATCAGAGCTACAAAGAAATAGTTGTTATTCTCCGTTATTTCTGTGTGTGCAGCCCAGTATCTGTAGAAATTACATCCACGCTCAGCGATTCTACACTTCCAGATTTACGCCCAGTGCCAACGTTTAGTGCCAGTGCAGTAAGCAGTGTGTCCTTTATGTAGGAAGGCGGGAAGTGAGTGTGTGGAGGTCGCTGTAGTGTGTCCGACACAAGACACAGTCTTTCTATCATCTTAAAGTCCCCCTCCACGGAAAAATGGGTTGTTCCTATGGTTGGGAAAATCCGATTTTAAGGGGCGGGGCCTAAAAGCATGATTTGTGACATCACAAATAGCCTGGAAGTCAATCCTGGTCCAGTATGCAACTTATATAGGTGTGATGTACAAACTTTGTTTTTTAAAATTGTCAAATATTGATGTTGTTGTCTTGTGATAGGGTTGGTCTCTCTCTCTGTCTGTGTGTGTTTGTAGGTGGGTGTGGTGCACTTTTGGGAGATTATGTCACTAGTGATTGGCAAAAATACAAAGGGAGGCATCTGTGTAACCAGCAGGACCTCCACCATATGCACACACACACACACACACACACACACACACACACACACACACACACACACACACACACACACACACAAACACACACAAACACATTTCTCACACTCGCTCCCTCATAGGAGAGAAGTGACAGAGTGTATCTGATGTGTTAAGTACCAGCACCAACTAATTTAAGATATAAAGGTAGGCTAATTGCTTTATAGATTGCAGCTTTATGACTTTAGATTTGACTCTTCTATGTACAGAATGTGAACACTTTATTAAAAAAGGACAAATTAGAGGATTAGTCCTCCAAATTGTTGTACCTTTTAGGGTTAAATTGAATGTTCAGGGATTTGTAAATAAACCCCAGCACATTTATTTTAAAGACAAAATGAATAAAAATAATATACAAACTGTCTGCTTGCTATCAGTGTGTCACTAAGGGGTTGTTACCAACTTTCAGTTTCACCTCCATATAAAGTGGTTTAGATAACAGTGGCTACACTGTTTGTTTATGAACAACTTGTATGATTATTCTTGTTAAAAGTTATCATAACCAGAGTTGTAATAAACCAGAATTATTCTTTAACATCAACCAGACAGACTGAAACACTCACAGTTTACTTCTGATGCCGCTATATGACATGCATAAACAAACCAGACCATCAGAGGGGAAGATTGTCTATTTCTATATATTTTTTCTATTTATTCTTAATGCTTGTCAGCGGGTCGGATTCAGTTGGATGCCCCTTTAAATCAATAAACTGAGGCGGCGGAAACACTGCGGCTTCTGTCCACAGGGACCGCCATACTCAATATTACGATATTTCTCTAACAAACACCAACACACTTCACGTGTGGTCCATCAATACACACCATTACCGGCACTCACACGCCTGACCTGTGATAAATTTGCATTACACACACACACATACACACACATACATCTGTTCCATTTAGTGTCCCATCCATCACTACAGCTTCATGAATAGTGTATTCATCCAGCTTGTACCTCGATAAACAGTGTTAGTTAGCAGATCCAGGCAGCCAGTTAGTTTGATTAATGACCTCGTCTGACAGGAGGAGGGACTCATGATGTAATATGTACACGCACACACACACACACACACACACACACACACACACACACACACACACACACACACACACACAGAGACATATCACACCTTTACATAGAAGTGTACAGAAGCAAGGCTGAGGTGTTTCTTTATCTGCCTGTGGACCATTCTCTCTCTCTCTCTCTCTCTCTCTCTCTCTAAGTAGTGTCTTGCTGTCTCTTCCTGTGTGTCTGCTTTATCTGTGACACTGCAGTACTGCACACCTCCCTCAAGACAGTACCACTCGGAGGATCATGGGATTGCTGATAGAACGCCTCACATGATAACCTGAAGAGTACGTGTTGGTGTGTGTGCAGCAGAGTGTGTTGCAGTGTTTCTACTGCCTTGTGCTTTTGAAATTTCAGAATGGCTTTACAGTGTTAACGGACAATATTTAATCTTTAATGGACTAACAGCAGTCTAGTGCTGGGTTACTAAAACTGGACTTATTGGATCATTTACCCTTATTTCAACATGAGCCATCTTCTACCTCACTAATGTTGTATGGCCTGTTGTTGTTTTGCTATTTCCGGACACTTTCCTGCTACCTGCTGCACACCGGTGATGTAAACCTATGCTACACTTTATCTTTGCACTGTGCTCTGTGCCCCACCCTGTAGGGATTATATGTAGAGGACCTGAGAGTGTGCTTAGTTCGATATGAAAGTGCCTTTATAACTGCACTGAACTGAATGAATTGCAATATTTAACAGTAAATAGAAAGAGCGACAGAGAAGGAGTCACTGGGAGGAAAGAAAAGCACACTGTAATTGATTATATTTGTACATACAGTGTACTATGCAGTATGTGCTTGCTTTGTTTCTTGGTAGAATGATGAATTGGTACCATGTTCAGTTAATGTAAGGACACTGTTTTGTGCCAGAGGCCTCTTGAAGTGAAACATAAAATGAAAGAATGGGCTGCAGTGTGTCTTTATCCAGCTGTGGTCACTGATTCCTGCAGACACCGATCCATAAAAGGTTGACTTCTGTAGTACAATATTTGTTGAGACACTCATTGGTAGAATTTTGTTTTATTTCTAATTTCCATTAAGTTCTTCACTCCATACGTCACTATGTTTTTGTTTTTCACATTTCTCCACTCAGCAAAATATTATCCACAACATCTACCATCTGTCCAGTCTCTTCTTCTGTGGCCTCTTATTACATTTCAGAGAAAACACAGACTCAAATGAAACTGTGACTTTATTTCCAGCTTTAAATATTGGGAAATCTCAAATCACTCATTCATTTTCTAAAGAAGATGCACATGTGTGTGGTGAGCTCCCATCACGTAACTCAGATCAGATCAGGACAGACCCAGTGGTTGTGTGTGTGTGTGTGTGTGTGTGTGTGTGTGTGTGTGTCATTGTCTAATTCTCTCTCTCCTAATCTTTTCATATCACAATCTTGCTTTCTCTCATGGGAATTCTCAAGGAGCACAAGACAAACAGGGCTTTGGCAACAACAAGTTGCTGCTTAGCAACACTCAGTAGGTACACACACACACACACACACACACACACACATACTACTACTACTACTACTCAAACTATACTAAATAAAATCAGAGAAAAGTGCTTTTATGATGTTTCCATCTTTCACAACTTCAAACTAATGAAGAGAGCATTTGGCCTTGCATTAACTTGGGTTTGTTTCATTCATCAGGCAAAAGCTTTGACACAGAACTTCTGCTAAGTGCACCAATGAACTGCAATCAACTAGAAACTTTTGACGGCCTGCATTACAGCCAGTCAATAAAGTAAGTGGAGGGGATTAAACAAGACAACCAAGGCCACTCATGAATATGGAGGAATATTTCCACTGTCTGAATTATTCATATAAACGTGCCAGGTAGCTCTGTAAATAGAAAATGTGCAGTCACTGTATAAAAGAGTTGAATAGTTTCTTCTGGAAAAAGCTATCATTTGTATTTGGCTATGTGAAGGTTTTTGCTCAATAAAATACTCAGTGGCACTCTAATAAAAAACTCATTCAAGACAGAAAAATTTAAAAACATTACACTTAGTAAATGTAAATTACATATTAGAGTAAAAATATACACAGGAAACATGGCTGCATGAGCAAGAAGTAGAAACATGTCAAGTGTTATTGTGCAAAGCCTTGAGTCACCAGTTCCTTAAAGGACTGGTGTGTAGGATTTAGTGGCATCTAGTGGTGATGCAGACTGCAACCAACTGAATACCACTCGCCTCGCCTTCCCTTCCAAGCATGTAGGTGAAACTAGCACAGCCAATCAAACTGCAGGATGAGGATTCTTTGTGTCGTGTTGTTTTAATACAGATGAAAGTCAGTAATTCCCATAATACTGTGAGTAACCACAATCTGATTTCATGGTGCACATGGAGCGAGAGGTTTTCCAGCAGTGGGCAGTAAAAGAAGTTGTTTACCTTAATGTTGAGTTGGAGTTGTGCAGCCTGTCGCCTGCAGCTCTTCATCTAACTCTTATTCACTCAGGCTGTTCTTTAAGGCTACAACAAAATACTGCTACATATATTAAGTGATCAACAGCAGCGCGACCCCCCTGTGGCTTCTTTATAATGAAAGCCATTATTAGTAACGCCAGTTCAATGCTTTAATGTGAACCAGCGACAGAAGGAAATGTTGGGTTTCCATTAGCACTAATACAGCTGCAGAGAGCTATCAGCAGACAGTGAGGCTTCTATCAGTGAGTGCAAACAATGCACGAGTGTACTGAAGCACACTCACGCATTGTTTGTTGTGAATCCCTTGTTTGTGTGTGTGTGTGTGGAGGTAGTTTGAATCCTGTAACTACAATATACAGAGCTACTGAATGTGAATACATTGATTAGAAAAACAGACATATATTCAATGAAAAATGGGTTTTGAAACAATGAAAATCTTTTATAACTTTTATAAATTATAACTTATACTTAACAAATTTCCCCCCGGGGATCAATAAAGTATTTCTGATTCTGATTATATTATCACTTATAATGTTAAATGCCTTTGGAGTGAATGAGTTCTGTCCTTTTTCAGACATGCCGGCTTTATGCTAACCCCTTACACTGGGGTCCATCAGTGTTGGAAATGCATACATCGGGTATAACTGATAACTCTTGTGGATTCAAAGAGCCTGACTGTATTCATGTGTGATGAATAGCAGCCATTTCAGTGAGACCATTTTATGAAACTTGACCTCACTGTATAAAAGGACCTCATGAAACCGTACAACCACAAACTAGAGACTGAGTGCATTCAGAGGATGGAGGGCTTTCCTGGCTACACTGACACCACTGATTTCCCACCATATTTTAGTTGTACAAACAACAGTGGGCGAGGCTGAGATTGGAGGGAAGTTAACTAGTATTATGTCATCCAAAGCTGAATGCCCCCCCCCCAGTTCAAAACTCACAGCTGTTAATGTAAAACTCTTTTCTTTTTTTTTCTATTCATGAGAATCAATAATAAATCAAAATGCTGCGTTATAAGACATCCACTTATCCTTGTCACTAGTACAATAACTCATCTTTATTTCCAGACAGTCCATCTCATTCATCACCTCATTGCTCAGAAGGCACAAACAGCATGTGGGACATTAGTTCTGTTGCGACTCAGTGTTTCCCCCGCATTAATTATTAATTGTCACTGAAGTGAGGAGAGATGTACACACCTCTGGGTGAAAGTGATTTGAGACAGTTTGTTAAAAATTGAACAGCAATCTATATGTATTTTTCAAGTTAATGTGCCTGTAATTCAAACTGCATTTTAATACTAAGTGTTTATACAGTAAAAATCACTGAAGTATGAAGTTTTGCATTTAATTTAAAATTTTAATGAAACTCAGTTTGTAATTTGATCCAGTGGAGACACCCAGAGCTGCAGACCCACAGCACTTCTTGAACTCTTTCCACCTTTTGAATTTGCTCAAAAGTTTAGTTGATCAACCCAAACCTTGTTCCCATCTGCTGCCAGGGTTTCTCCTATTCCCTTTACAACAGTGCACCCGTCTCTCTCTCTCTCTCTGTCTGTCTGTCTGTCTGAAAGATGATAAATGTGATGTGCATATGGATGATGGATGATGCCGTACACACCAATCACTGCATTCCTGGTTCGTATTTATATCCATTTTCCCGATCTGCATTTTGTCCACATTATGCATTATGATCAGAAACAATTTATTCCACGATGGTGCTTCCACTTTCATCCAAGGAATTTCCATATTGTAATGGCGTTGCTGCTCTCACTACTGACATTACAACTATAATGATGGTGTTTCTGTCTCTGGCTATTATACTCCCCAGTGGAGAAAATACTCCTTTAATGCCAACATACCTTGACGTCACCCATTGGCAGGGTCCGAAATGAATTGCTGAGAAAACTGAGAAAATGTACCTGCTAAAAATACACACTTTCTAATAACATGACTCAAACAGGAGGAAATAGTGCACATGTGATCCGTCTCTCTGTGCAACCACTCCATCCAATCTACTCTCATCTCTTTAAAACCTTTATTAAGACTCTTGTTCTCTTTATCGCCCTCTCTGGTATACATTATGTTAATCTCCCCAGCATCATAAAATCCGACAGAGGTATTCCCAGTTTCCACAAAGTTCACATGACGAAGCACAAATAACAAAGGAAGGCTAACAAACGACCTCTTTTCCACTCTCCTCCCTCATTAGGGTAAAGTGAGACTAAATCAGGGAGCAAATTGGTCTCTCAACAATCATTTTCTTTATGCCTGCTGAGCCTTGTTCTCTTGGAGGAGACAATCAGTGTCAGTCGACCGAGCAGAGAGGGAACTGAAAAATGTCACGCTAAAATTCACAGATCCAAAAAGACAATCTTAAAAGTGCAAACTCAAAATCTTTCTGTGGTCCCAAAACTGCTCCTCGAGTTTGACAGGAGAGGGTGTGAGAATGTGACTGAAATCAGAAAATCAATCAAAGAAATGTCTGATAGCTTCAGATTTAATTAATCAATTCCTCAAGTTAAAATAAAACCACAAAGAGCAGCAGGCTGAAGTTGTTTCAGAAACTCAGTCAACAAAATGACAATGAAATATCTTTGAAGGCATTTATTTGTATCTTATTTATTGTTGTTCTTATATATTCACTTTCTCTGTTTCTGTTTTTTTTAAAAAATGTTTTATAACCATGTAGAGTATTTTGAATAGAAATTCAACAACAGACTGACTTTGTCCTCCAGTAGCAAAACATCTGAGCCTCTGCTGTCTTTCAAGGTGATTTATTATTACCTCCACCATGGTTATGTCTTTGGTGCTGTTTTGGGGGGTTTGTCTGTCAGTCAGCAGGATTGTGGAACAACTCGTGGGCCAGTGTTCATGAAAGCATGAAAGTTCTTGGAAGCATGGGCCAAGGAAGAAACGATTACATTTTGGTAGCAGATCTTAAACGTGGGTGGATACATACATAATTTTTTATTCTCCTATGGCAAAACGAACTGAATTCTTCATGCATTGTGCAACACTGTAGAACCAAATGCAGCAGGTATGTGAGAAAGAAGGGGTTGGGATGCGCACACACTCACACACACACACACACACACACACACACACACACACACACACACACAGCGGACAGCAGAGAGAGACCACTGTGGAGACAATGAAGCAGGTGAAGTAGAAACAAGTAGAAAAGCGATATTTCCACCTGCTTTGTCAGCAGCTGTTGGTCATACAACCAGAGCAAATCGTTGCAACTAAAACCAAAGCTGTCAGTTTGTAGTCTGTTTATCTTTGTAGAAATTGTAAAAGGGGGACATAAACGTGCCGATCCTCAACCCGTCCTGAGTGAATTTATTACCACTGTATGGGTTACTGTGCTTCAAAGAGACTGCATCACAATGTCACACAACTCTCTCACATCACCATCTACCTTCCTCTCCTCACTGACTACATGATCAGTCCAGAGTCACAGTAATATAGTCAGGAAGCTATAAGCACCTACTTATAATCTAACCATCTAGGGATAGATGCTAATAATACTGCTGCTTTCGCTGTATAAGAGCTTTGGCTGAAGATCTACAATGTAAAAGTAGATGTCAAATTTAAGCATAAATTGAGGTTAAATAGGGCATGAAAGGAAAATGTCAAGGAAAAAACACTGAGGGAGAAGCAGAGAAATAAAAATGAGGCTCGGGCTGCGTGCTTGCTCGGTATGGTGAGTGTTTTTCTATTGTGTTCTGTTATAAAGACAGTTTCGGTCCTGAGGCTGCTGCCAAATAGCTCCTCAGTCAGAGAATCACAGCTGTGCGTGTGAGTCTGCTGTTGTCGGTCCTTGGGAGCATACAAGCCTATTTTCTTTTTGTGTGTATTTCTGTTTCTCATTGTGCCTCTGTTGGGACACACTTTAGTTGGACTGAAGGGCATAAAGCAGTCCAACCCCCAGTACTAACTTACATCCATCTATCATCTGTCTTTTCACCTCAACTTCTCGTTTGTCTCCAGGTTTTTGGTGCATTTGTACTTAATTATGGGAGTTTAGGGACTATATTGGAGACTATCTTTTGGAGAACGAATGATTTTACAGCTTTAAAACCAACCAAACAAGTTAAATATCAAATTTTCTCTTCTCAGTCAAAGATTCCTCTGAACCACAATCACAAACCAGTTGGTTTCACTGCAGACAGGCTGCCAATTTCTCCAACACCACTGAGCTGCTGCAACTGACAGTTTGGAGAGATGAATTCTGGTTGTAATCCTGCTTTGAATGGTCACTTAGCAGCAAGTCTGCAGCAAATGACTAACAATGGAGTTCAGACCTGCGAGGGAAATCACTGAGAGATTAAAAAAAACACTATGTATTTTATTTCTATGTAAATACAAATATGAGGCTACATCGTAATTGTATCTGTCTAACTGTCCCACATTCATATTTCATGGTCTAAAGTTTGGAAAACAACATGACCATCGGATGAATAGAAAGATTCCTGCTGTGCCTGAAATCCCTCCATTGTCATTCACTACTGCCTATATAATACACATTTAAATATTAAGTTGCAGTAAATTGAGATTTCAGAAAGGTCATCATTGCCACTCAACAGCCATTTGCATCTATAATAGTTAAGGCATTGGCTTGTGGGATTGCTAGTACGTGCCAGGGGTGTCGTTATATACTGGTACTGACAATAACCTTGATATTTAAAAATATCAAGTAAATAATCCTTCTTGAATCATTCTTGTGTACAGTTAGATTATAGACTCTCCACCTCTCTACACTCATATTTTAGGTGCTATTCATTTGCCAAAAAAGATAAACTCAACCTATGACACTGATATCGCAATAATATCGTTATCGTGAATTATTTTGGCCACCTGACAGCACTAGTACACACCATGTACTCATTTTTTATTCCACTGTGGAACGTTTGAGGGCGACATACGTACGGACACACTTACTTAAAATGGTGGACAGTAAATGCAATGCACTATAATTAAGGAGTGATTTTGGGCGCAGCCTTCATGTTGAAGCAGAGATTTTGAAGTAGGAATATTTCATTAAATAAGAATATGAATTAGTTTTGTATAAATACACTAAAGCCCCATTCGGATGGGATTAACATTACAGAAGGTGGTGAGGAATAATATATTTACTGGTGTGTCTGTTAACATTAAAGAAGTCAGTCAATGATCGGCAATTATTCATCATGCAATGAGCAAACGCAGTCTGATTTCATGCTGCACACAGCGCGAGTATGCATACAACAGCACAGCAGAGTTCAAAGAGTTGGAGGTGTGCAGCCTGCAGCTCTTCATCCTAGAGCTCACTGTGGTTGAATTCCTCCCTAACGAAAATTTCTATTTCCTCTACAAATTCACATTTTATGTGTTTCATCCACAAAGTCAAGCTCAGCTCACGATCCCAACTACAGCCACACACATCAGCTGATGGCAAATGTCCTTCAGGGCGCCTTATTTAAACTGCTTTAGCCTGCTTACCTCTGCTGCTTCCTCTGCAAGCCGCTTTGTAACCCGCCTCCACCCCAGCTCCTCCTTTTATGATGTATCTGAATTAATCATTTCTGTTGTCATTGATGTTTGCTCTGTTCTGTCTTGTTGCTGCTCTCCTTGTCTTAAGTTTTCAATGTATGCACATGGAAGGGCAAAGAGATCCCAGAACAGAGCCATAGTGCCAAATATAACATACTGAATTTGTTTGCATAAAAGAAAAGATTCCCATTAGTTAGCTCCACTGTTGTCTGAGGCTTATTCACTCTTGGCCCTATTCTAATTCAACAGATGTAGAGTGTGTGACTGATGAGTTATTGTATATATTAGATTTATTTCGGTGATATTTTGGAACGTCAGTCGTCTCAACTCAACTTTTGTTTACTGGATCACAAGGGACCATAACTGCATAACTGGCTTTGTGGTACAGACATTATGATGCATACTGATTTAAAATTAAATCAGTGCATATTAAATATATATCATATATATATATCAAAATCTGATCCTCTCAGGCTGCTGGTGCTGCAGCGCTGCTCTCTTTAATGACAGCTGGCTCTACAGTGCAGCATTTCACTACATATGAGAGTGTAAATGAGAGTGAAAAATGATTTGTTTGCATTGTTTCTGACACCCAAAATCCTGACTTGCTAAACTTTGTATTTCTCCTCCCTTATTAGGAAAGATTACTCATGCAGACCATCAGATTCAGCAGATCTCATCAGCTGAGTAGGTTGATGGCAGGCCAAAATAAAACTGTGAGTTTGTGCGCTCTCTGCAAGCTGCGGTCTGTCCTCTGCCAAAGATAGTTCACCTCATAAACACTTTAATATTCATGACAAAGATAGCGAACTATACGGTGGGAAGCCT